TTTCGGGTGGCGAAGCTGATCAGTGGTTTGCCGCAATGGGAGATGAGATGGAATCCCATGACAGGAATCAGACTTGGGAGCTAGTCAAACGACCACCGGGAAGGAAGATTGTGACAAACAAGTGGATCTACAAGAAGAAGGAAGGAATCAGTTCTGGAGAGGGCATTAAATTTAAAGCTCGGGTGGTTGCACGAGGCTTCTCGTAGAGGGAAGGAGTTGACTACAATGAGATTTTCTCACCAATGGTCAGACATACTTCGATCAGAGTGCTACTAGCAATAGTGGCACATTATGACTTGGAGCTCGAGCAGCTAGACGTGAAGACAGCTGATAGACCGTCATTTACACATGTTTTTACCCTCATACTTGCACCGTTTGAGGTGTTAATCCTCGTGTTTTAGGCCGATTTCACGCTAGGTTGTGCTTGTTTGTGATATTTCAGGTCCTAGTACGTGAATGAAGGCTTAGGAGCGAGTCTGGGGTTGATTGGGCGAAGAACGGACGAATGGCGACCTTTTTGGGGAGCTGCACGGGCAGACCATGGGGCTGCACGGCCGTGCAAAGTGCAACTCTGGCCGTGCACCTTGTGCCGAGGCCACGCACGGGCAGGCCCTGAAGATTGCACGGCCGTGCACCTGGCCGTGCAAGAAGCCTGAGGCCGACTAAATGGTACGGCTGCGTTTTGGACTCGCACGGCCAGAATGGTGATGTGCACGGCCGTGCACCCTGGCCGTGCAAGTCGGGAAAGCCTGTTTTAGAGCCTATTCCGAGCCAGAAGGGGGAGAATCGTGTTTTCAGAGCAAAAACAGAGCCCTAGAGAGAGAAAGTGCGTAGAACACATCCTAGAAGCTGTCCTAGAGCTGGATTTCATCGAATCGAGCCTGGAGATCGTCATAGGAGTGAAAATCATCGTCCCGGAGCAGATTATCCTCATCGTTATGAGTATGAGTAATCCGATTCTTGTTTTCTCTTCTCTCTCTATGGAGTAGAACCCTTCTCTCACTTGGGTATGAAGAACCCTAGTTCCTTGTGTTAGGGATTTGATTGTAATGACTTGGAATGATATTATTGTTTGATTTTAATCGAATGACGCATGTTTATTGAATTGATTTGAGTCTGATCAGCTTTTCTCAATTTCTGCTGCAACCTGAGATAGATAGAATCTGATTAGGCTGTTAGAGCCTCTTCATTCGATAGTAGGAGATTGGCTATACGAGAGTTAGCCAGTTTACTGCTTTGTACTGGTGCTCTTGGCGCCAGTAGTGGAGTTCTGTGTTCATAGCCTCAGCTTTCTATCCCGGTGAAGACTAGTCGTCTGCCGGGTAGTTAGACTGAGAGGGCTTGGTCAGCTTAAGAGATTCCAAGCTACTGTCGGATCTTCCGCAGTCTAATCAACAGTAAATCAACCCAGGGAATTGCAATTGAACCTAACTAAGGGGCTAGGGGGACTCAATCCCGAGTGACTCTTACCTGCTTTAGAAACCGAACAATTTACTGCTTTCTTGTTGCTTTTACTTTTCACAACAATCACTCGAACTAGTTTGCTAGACAATAGAGAATCACGGAGTAAGCAGTAGATCTAGACCCCAGGTTGATAATTAAACTTGCCTGTTACTGCATTCCCGGACTGCGATTACACTTGGTCGCAGTTTGGTGTTGTGTTTTGGCGTGTCAACAGCTTTCCTACATGGAGAGTTGGAAGAAGAAATTTACATGACTCGGCCAGAAGGATTCGAGGTTCCGGGAAAAGAAGACTATGTTTGTAAGCTGAAGAAGTCCTTGTATGGACTTAAGCAGTCTCCGAGGTAGTGGTACAAAAGATTTGACGGTTACATGCTTGAGCTGGGCTACAACAGAAGTCCATATGATTGTTGTGTGTATCACAATAAGGTGGTGGATGGTTCGATGATCTATCTTGTTATGTATGTGGATGATATGCTCATAGTTGCGAGGTTGAAGTCTGATATCCAAAAGTTAAAGGGGCTTCTCAGTGCTGAGTTTGAGATGAAGGATTTGGGAGCTGCTCAGAAGATCTTGGGTATGGAGATTTACAGGGACAGGTCGAAGAAGAAGCTTTTCTTGTCACAGAAGAGCTACATCCAGAAGATACTGTCGAGCCCTTAAATACTCGTAGTGCTTCAAATGTCCATCTATCCTCAGCTTATGCACCGCAGTCAGAGGCTGAGAAGGAGTACATGTCGAGAGTCCCATATGCTAGTGCAGTAGGTAGCTTGATGTACGCTATGGTATGCACTAGACCTGATCTTGCACATGTTGTTAGTGTTGTCAGCAGGTTCATGATACAACCTGGGAAGGAGCATTGGCAGGCTTTGAAGACGATCTTCCGGTACCTTAAGGGTACACCTGATGTGGGGATTAGCTTCGGAAGTGATGCAGAGTGCTTGCTGTCTGGGTATTCTGACTCGGACTATGCTGGAGATGTTGACACGAGGAGATCGATGACCGGTTATGTATTCACTCTTGGGAGTTCTGTAGTGAGCTGGAAGGCAACTCTGCAGTCGGCGGTGACATTGTCTACTATTGAGGGAGAGTATATGGCGTTGACAGAAGCTGCTAAGGAGGGAATATGGTTGAAGGGATGGTTGGTGATCTGGGTCTACATCATGATCAGGCAGTGGTGTATTGCGATAGTTTGAGTGCAATATGCTTGGCCAAGGATCAATTCCAGCATGAGAGGACTAAGCACATCGACGTGAGGTATCATTTCTTGAGGACAGAGAACAGGATTAAGGTGAAGAAGGTTGGCACCGCGGATAATCCTGCTGATATGTTCACGAAGCCGGTTCCACATGGCAAGTTCCAACACTGCTTGGACTTGTTGAATGTCTTGAGTGGGTGACTCCGCCCTGTGGGGCATTGATGGCGGGAGAGAGAGAGAAGGAGCAGAGTACATCAGAGATTTCAGAGGAAGAGGATTCAAGGCAAGGTGGAGATATGTTGTTGTGACTTGAATCGGACTATCAGCCGCTACGACTGGTAGTCGGGGTATCGATGCCCGGTCAGCAAGTGGGGTCCAGGGCAACGCCCCCGGCCCGCGGTGTATTGGCTCAATGTTATTTGGGTTCGGGTTCTGGGCGTGGTCTGTAACCGTTTCCTTTGCCAGATTGGATTAGGTTTAGACCCACATGGAGAAGTACTATAAACACTTCTCATACTCCTCTGTAATCTGTAATCTCCTCGATATAGTGAAACTGGCTCTCTCTCGCCCGTGGACTAGCTAACACACATCGTGTTAGTGAACCATGTAAATCGTGTGTTTGTGTTTTTCGATTCTCGCTCTCGTATTCTTACTTTATTGATTCCGGCGATTTTCCGATCCGTAGCAGTGCGTTTATAACATTATCTAAACTCTATGCACTCATATTTTACATAGTTTATGCCGTACTTAACAAATTTTTAACTATTACACAAGATGCATAAAAAATTTACGCTTTTACGTTTTAGTTCACCGCTTTTCGATTTTATCCCTTTTCCACTTTTAGGTAGAATCGCGCTTTTGATTGCATTGATTTTGCCTATTAAAAAATGAGAAAAGTATATTTCGAGGGCTAAAATTGAAAAAAACAATGTAAATAAGCAAACGACGTCGTGTTGTTGGGAAGACGGGGCCGCCGCCTGGGCCTAGCTGGTGGCTTGGTGAGGAAGGCGGAGGGAGGGGGGCGGAATTAGGAAAACTGGAAAAGAGGAAGAAATCAGAAATCTCATTGAATGTGTTGATAGATAGATAACACAATCACTTATACCTCTTCCTCTCCTCTTATTTTCCCCTTTTCATCCCTCGGTTTCTCTCTCTATTTTCCCCTTCTACCAAACAATACTATACGAAAGACTAACCCTAACTTCCCTCCTTTTGTGATGATTTTATCTGATTGGAGTAGATCTCATTGGGTTCTAATACCGTCGTCAGGTGCGTTCTCTTACTCTCCGTCCCTTGTTTTCCTCCTTCGAAGAATGTTTCTTGGCTTGCTGAATTTCTCGCTTGTGATAATTGAAAATCTGAGGTCTGCTGATTGATAGTTTCTGAGCGGAGTACGTTGTTGGTGTCGCGTTAGCGGATCAGCCGACATTTTGAATGTTTCTGCAGCTGCTCTTTTTTTTTATTTGTTTGATGATTTTCTGTTTGGATGTCGTGAATTCCTCCGTGGAGGCGACTGGAGACGATTTTATTGGAAAGAGGATGTTCTTACCTTTCCCCAATTGCTCTTAGTTTGTTCCCTTGGATTTCCTCCCCTGTGTTGGAACCTGTTCTTTCTGATGCGCTGACATGCGAAATTGGAAGGTATCGGTAGTCTTAAGTTGCACCGATGGTGTTTTTATGAATGGAGATTGGAGTAATTGGTGGCCTTTCTCTAATTCTTGTTTTCATAATGGGGTTATTAGATGTTGTGAGTGAATTTGGAGTTTTGTACGTGTAATAGAAAGCTGACCCCATTGCTAGAATGGAGTTCCGTGCGCTAGTTTAATATCTGCGTTATTATTTGGAATTGTTAGAAGGGTAACTTCACTTTTCTGTATCCTCGAGCTGGTTTGATGCCTACACTGGACTCCTGTCTTGTGGGTCTTTGGCGGATGAGTTGTGTGAAGTTGTGGTAATTGTTTTGGCAGTTTCTAATACGCTAGCAGGAGAAGTTTTTGTAAATTAAGCACCAACTTCATAAAAGGAAAAACAAGAGAACATGAAGCGGATTGGGGGATGTATGGCAGCCATCTCTGTGTAGTGATGTTTTGATTTGTGTTCTCATTCCTGGTCATTTGCAGCAGGCGCTCTTTGGCCCCTTATTTCCTGTGATTTGCAGCAGAGGCAGAACACCTTGTCATTTACTGCCTAATGTCAATAATGCGTGTTTGATGCTTTTGTTTCATTGTTATAACTGATCTGAACTTTGTTTTTGCTGTGTTATCTGAACTCTGTTTGCTGCCTTTTTTGTCTTGATTAATTTATTCCAAATCTCATGACTGGATACTATATCACATTAGTTAAAGACCCTTCTTGGTAATGTTTTTGGATATTCTTCAGATTGAAGGCAATAGCAAGTGGCCCAATATAATTGATGGACAATGATTGTGCAGATGGATAAAATGTCTGCTCCTCCTTCTCGGGATCGTGCTCAATGTCTGTATGAGAAGGTAGACTTGTGGATATATTTGTGCATGCTGGTTTTTTTTATAAATATTATTCGTTTGTTTATTAAGTGCTTTGCTATCTTAGAACATTGAGTTGGAGAACAAACGAAGGAGGTCAGCTCAGGCACGGGTTCCATATGATCCCAATGCATGGCAACAAATGCGCGAGAACTATGAAGCTATAATTCTCGAGGATCATGGTTTTTCCGAGCAGCACAACATAGAATATGTGTTGTGGCAATTGCACTATAGGCGTATTGAGGAACTGAGAGCTCACTATAATGCTGCCCTTAATGTTGCTGGCTCAAACTCATCTAAGGTTCCTGCCCGCCCTGATCGTGTCTCAATTACAATTTAAAACATTTCTTTCTCAAGCAACTGGGTTTTATCATGACCTGATTTTGAAAATCAGAGCCAAGTATGGGCTTCCCCTGGGTTTCTTCTCAGATGGCAGGGATGGCAGAGTTGTTATGGAGAAAGATGAGAAGAAATCTCCTGATATCAAGAAAGGATTGATTTCTTGCCACCGGTGTTTGATATACCTGGGTGATCTTGGGAGGTACAAAGGACTATATGGAGATGGTGATGCTAAAACACGCGAGTATGCTGCTGCTTGGAGTTACTACTTGCAGGCTGCATCTCTTTGGCCATCAAGTGGCAATCCACATCACCAGGTTGAATTTGGATGACTAGTTTTTGTTTGATATGCTAGGTCTATTTTCGAGGCTATGATTTTGATGAACGTTGAATATTTTTTTAGCTTGCTATTGTGGCATCATATTCTGGTGATAAGGTGGGGGCAGTGTACCGTTACTTTAGGAGCCTGACAGTTGATAATCCTTTTATGACAGCACGAGATAGTCTGATTGTTGCTTTTGAGAAGGTATCTTCTTTTTCCTCTACTATGACAGCATGTTTCTAAGCTGTGCTGAAGTCTTGGATACACATGGCTTTAGAGAGTGTGCAGCTATTTGTTTGTGGCCTTTCTTGTGAGATGTAAAGGGGAGCCAAAAGGTGGATCTAAAATTCCATGTGTTGAAGCTGATGGTTCCAGGGAGAAGGAAACTGATGTTAATGAGATTCGTAAATTATTTTGCATTCGATTTATCCGTCTAAATGGCATTCTTTTCACCCGCACGAGGTAATTCATTTTTCACATTGTCAGTTACCATTCTTAGTTTGTATAGCTTTTCCAGTAAACTTAGTATATGATCGGATGTGTAGCTTGGAGACATTTACAGAACTTCTCGCATCAGTCAGTAGCACTTTCCTTGAGCTTCTATCCTCTGTTCCGGAAGGGAAGTCAAATTTTGGAGCAGACACTGTTGATAATGGACTTTTTATTGTTAGATTAGTCTCTATCCTTGTATTCACTGTTCATAATGTTAAGAAAGAGGCTGAAGGTCAGAGTTATGCAGAGATTGTGCAGTGTGTTGTTCTTCTTCAGAATGCATTTACTGCTGCTTTCGAGTTAATGGGACATGTATTGGAGAGGTGCGAGCAACTTAATGATCCTTCTTCAAGTTACTTGTTACCTGGAATTATGGTATTTGCGGAGTGGTTGGCATGTTGCTCTGATATTGATGGAAGTGGTGATGCAGATGAGAAAATGGTTGCCATAAGGTCCAAATTTTGGAGGTGCTGTATAGCTTTCATGAACAAGATCTTGTTCTTTTTGCCAATATCCCTTGATGATAATGAAGACGATACGTGCTTCAATAACATGATCCGGTATGAAGATGGGGAATCTTGGAACATGCTTGCTTTATGGGAAGACTTAGAGTTGAGAGGGTTTTTGCCATTTGTCCCTGCACAATCCATTTTGGACTTCTCCAGGAAATACCAATTTGCAACTGACGGTTCTCAGGAAAGGATGGCTCGCATTAAGAGGGTTCTTGCTGCAGGGAAGGCATTAGCAAACCTGGTGAAGGTTGACCAGAAACCAGCCTCCTTTGATTCTAAGATGAAGAAATTCGTTATAGGTGTTGTGCCTCTTGTTTCTGGTGATGATGCCTTGTTCAACGCTGATTCTGGAATGTCAAAAGCAACTAACTTGATACAGGAATATAGTCCTGAGGAAGCTATCAGTTTTGGAGCCTTGAATACAAACCCCCAGCGATGTGTGGAAGGAGAAGAGGACGACGAAGTAATTGTTTTCAAGCCCTTGGTGACTGAAAAGCAAAATGGTGGTTTAAACCCAAAGCCTACTCCTCACGAGAACTCAAGACCCATTAGAAACCTTTCTGCTGCTGATCCACAATTTTGTGGTGGCTCTGTCTCTGCCGCGATCGATAATGAGCTCATTCCTGCTGCTTTCAACGGACATCCTCAAATATCAACATCTGCAGGTGTAGTTGGCACTCAGCATCTATCAGCAATCCATCCTCCATCTACTTCAAAGTGGCCGAGGGAGGAAGCTGCGCTGCTTGCTAATAGCATGAAAAGTGTCAGGTTCAGGGAGAATGGGCACGCAGCTGGCTATGAGATGCAGAAAGATTTCCGTGTAGCCCATTTGCCAGTGTCTACCTCCGTTCCAATGCAACCACCACCTGTGAATTTTGGTACTACTGGCATGATCTCGAATAAAATAAAAGTTCCATATGCAACCATTCTGTCCAAGGTTGATACTATTAATTCTTCTGGAATGTACCCTGAAAGTTTTGCTGTACAGGCATTAGCTGGCATGGCAAATGGTTTTAGGAGGAGCCCTATAAGCCGGCCTGTGAGGCATCTTGGCCCTCCACCTGGTTTTACTTCTGCCCCACCGAAGCAGGTGACTGAATCTTTTTCTGGTTTAGATTTGACTACCGAGAATCCTCTAGCAGATGATTATAGCTGGTTGGATGGCTATCATTTGCCGTCTTCAACCAAAACCTCAAGGTTTAGTGGTTCAACCAGTCTCTCTTCCTATCCCACACTTCAATATGCCAGCATCAATAATGGATCAACAGGGGCAGACAACTTTCCATTCCCTGCAAAGCAGCTGCCAGGATCTTAGGTACAGTTGGAGCAGGAAATAGGTTGGGAGAATTTTCAGGCTTTTGAGAATTTAAGAGCCCAGCAACAGCAGCATCTGCAGCAACAACAACTCTTGAATGGAAATCAGCAATTTACGACAACGCATGTGCAGTTTGATGGACACTCCATGTGGAACGGGCGCTATATCGTGTGAGATTGGTGTGAAGCAGATATGGGGAAGATGAAAAGTTTGGAACTCCAGGTGGATATGCCTAAGGGTGGTTTTATGGGCTTTCTTTCTTGAAGTTGCTATGAACTGATCTCTTTTCTTAAGAAGGTTCTAAGAATTGGCTTTCGTGAATCTTGCAGTATCCTTTTGCTACCGAGTGTGCGCTCCGACTTTGCAGCTGTATCAAATTTCCAATTTCAATTTTTGTTGGAGGATGGGTGGCCTTGGCTCCTTGCTTGGCTCTTGCCACTGGACAGGTGTGTTTTATTCCATCTTTCACTGGTATACAATTCAAATGATATTGAGCTGTGGTTTGGATCTTCTGACTTTTATGTCAATGTATACTTATCTTGGGATCCTTTCTGTTTTTATATCTCTCCTTTATATTACCAAGCCACAAGCGGATTAGGATAATTTTCAATATTTTTGTTTTCATGAAGTACCATTTGCTTGTATCTGGCTGCATGGAACCAACTGCCATCTTTCTCCAACACTTCTGTTTTAAAGATAAACTTGCTTGAATGGCCCTGAAATGTTTTTTCGTTGCAGCTTATGTGTAGCTTCTGGTGGACGGTTTGTGGTTATCATCTTTTTGTTACCTTTATATATTCATATAGGAAACTCTTGATTTTTTGGGGTGGCTTCATTAGAATATATTGTAAGGGGTCCTGGGTAGATTTGTATGAATAACTCTTGTCCTCTATTGATATCACTCAGAAATAAAAAAAAATATTCATATAGGAAAACGATTGAATGACCATGAAAAGATGAATTCTTGCAGTCTATGGGTTGTCGCCGCATTATCCATTTGTTTATTTTAGATTTCAAAATTTGCTTGTTACACTGTATTGAGTTTGTTCTATTACGGATCTTGATAGGTTTTGCTGATCTATCTGCCAGGAGAAGACAAATATTTGCAACATCGTCTATGAAATGGAACTTTCAAGAAGTAGAAGCCTTATTTGGTTACTTGGGTTTGGAGATAGAGTCGAGCTAATAAGATCAGTTTGAACGTTGGGCCTAACATTTGGAAGGAAGAATTGGTGAGATAAAAACCACGTGGTTTCCCTTCTACGCCAAACTGTTGGGCTGCTCTAGGTAGTTGTCTAAGGTGCTGGATTGTATCATCTTGACAACTGAATTTGGGACATGGCGAATGTGAGTGGAATCTTTGGCATGTCGCTTTCAGATCTCCAAATACTGGATGGGTGCCTAGGTATGTCCTCAATATCGCAAGTTTGTCTGTGGCATGGTGAAGAATGGTGGAAGCCTGATCGCATGTTGAGGTCCGGGGAGTTAATTATATGTACCATTTCCCCCTTTGTGTAGTGGGGTTTATAGCTCAATGTGGAGGGGTGGCTTTTGAATATGCGTGTGCGGGACTGTCGTAGTACCCACGACTTCCTGGAATAAAAGGCGTCTGGAGATATGGTTATGCCAAGGGAATGGTTTCTCTCTGGAATGTCGGTATTGCGTTATTTTGTTGATGGGTCTAATAGATTTCCTTATGTATAAGTGTCTGTTTACAACTGATGTACAACTTATTATATTGGGGGACAGTTCTGATTTCAGTTGTGTAATTTCTGTTTGCATAGCTGCTGGCAGTCTGATAAGAGACCTTTCTCTTGGTGCTCCGTTTGTTGTGGTTGGTATCTAATTGTGGTTCTTGTTTTTGTTTTTCTTGTTGTTCGAAGTTATATACAGATGGTGATGGGTTAAGTGCCAATGAATTTGCAGTTTATCAGGCTTAGTTAGGCCTTAGGCTTTGGAAAAAATCCAAAACTACCACTGTTAATTTTTTTTACAAAAATACCACCCATTCCCAAGAATTTCCAAAAATATCACCGTTTTTAAAAACCGCACCTCTAAAGGGCGGTTAATATAGAAACCGCGGAGGCGTGGTTGCATGTGCCACCACATGGAGGCGTGTTTTGACAGCTACGAAGGGTCAAACTGCCCCTTGTCCGCGCGGTTTGACTGAGAATCGCGCCTTTGATGCGCTGTTTATGGGGAATGGTGGTATTTTTGGAATTTTTTAAAAAACAGTGGTAGTTTTGAATTTTTTTCCGTATGCTTTAGGCTCTTGCTTGGGGAGTTTTGAGCTCTTAAATGATTCTGCTGCGTTCGTATGGCTTTTTTTTATGGTATAGCTGAGTTCGTATGGTCATTGCAAGATGATATACTTAGTCGTGCCCTCCGGTTTTCGAGTTCGAAGGCAAGTTCATGGGTTTTCTTACGGTGATTGGCTGGCTAGTACACTGTTTAGGCTAGTAGGTTCATTAGAAGTTCAGAATTGTTACCTTGGAAAATTTCACGTGTCTGCATTGCCTTGATGGTTGTCGGAGCAGAGTAGGAGCAGGAGCAGTTGGAATTTAGAATAGAGCGCCATTTGACACTCTTTTCTATTAAGGATGTTATTAATCGCTTGCAGTCGTGCACAATTACGTAGAAAATATATAATGTGAGGTTGAGTATGTAATAATTTTTTGAAAATAAATATTCATAATGCAAATTATGAGAGATGTTAAGATACTGAGCGAAAAAATTGTTTATGATTCTTTACTTTGCTTATTGTAGTAAGTGCTTGTTCAACACTAATAGCAACATACACAACTAAACTCACTTACATAATACATGAAATAAAAGTTAAATAGAGACCCTAATACATTACTTTTGGTAAAATTATCTACAATAATATGGAAATATTGTATTCAATCCACAATCAAATTAATAAATGCACTCTACATTGTTTTGGGTCAGGATGGTGTAGATGGCCCACCTTGACATCAAGTGGCTTCGTTATTGATCATGCACTAGGGTTGTAGATGAGTCGGGTGGTTCAGATTTAGTCATTTTAACCATCCGACTCAGACACTATGGTTTTGAAAATACCAAATTCAAACTCACACAAAAAATTTAGAACCCTACTATTTTTTTAAAGTTAAGTTGGGTTAGGATGATACTTTTAATTAGTATAAACACTAATTATTAGCTAACCTTTCATGCATTCTTTTTTATTAGCCAAACCTATTAAATTTATAATAATTAGTCAAATGTTAACTTACTGTTAGCAATTTTGTTAGTAATATTGATTTAACAACATGATACTGACTGGGAAGTGGCACATGGAAGTCAACATTCCCAAATTTTAGTATTATAACTAATAAAAAGCTACCAACTTATTATCGATAACATAAAATGGCTAATATTTTGATCCATTACAAAATATTTGACTAATTATTAGAAATTCAATAGGTTTGGCTAATAAAAAGAATGCGAAAAAGGTTTTGCTAATAATTAGTGTTCACCCTTTTAATTAAAAATCCAATCCAACGCGTAAAAAGACAAATATTCTACACCCCCAAATATTATATAAATAATTAAACTTTTAGGCAAATAAATCGAGCGAAATGTATCAAAATCAGTGTTATTAAAGCCGAGCCGAGCCGCTCGGCCCGACCGGTAAAACCGCCACCCGGTCACAAAACCGGCTAAGCACAGTCTAAAAGCCGCTCCGGTTTTATGTAGCTGTTGGCGAGCGGTCGAGGCGGTTAACCGTTCGAGCCGATTGAGCCGCTCGTCCGGTTTTTGCCATTCAGCCACTAAATTTAATTAAAAATTGCAAAAAATTAAAAATTGAAATAATCCAAAAATGTAGTGCTCTCAAACTGAATCTTTATTCTCATTTCACAATTTCGAAGGAAAGAGATGAGCTCTGATTAAGAAATGTCCTCTATTTATACTGATAACGTTTATTAGGTGCCGGTTAGGGGTGGCATTTTGGTTATTTCGGTTATAACCGATCAGCCGGTTATCGGTTAACCGAAATAACCACTCCCCCTACCGAAAACCGCCCGAAATAGGCTTCGGTTTCTCGGTTATCGGTTAACTGACCCACTTTTAAGACCAAAAACCATTTCGTCTAGCCTGCGATAACCGACCGAAGTTCGGCTATTTCGGTTACCGGTTAGTGGATAACCAGCCGGTTATCGGTTTAACCGGCCGGTTAACGATAACCGAACTGCCACCCCTAGTACCGGTTCTCTAATGGTTTTTAAACGGTCTAAAACCGGTTGGACCACTAAAGTGCAAGTCGTTCGCATTACCGGATCATGCTCCGGTTCGGTTCTGACAACATTGATCAAAATGCATAAATAGTATTTGCATTTTAATGAAATACAATTTGCTTGAAAAAAGTCTTGTTTTTCTCACAAATATTTGTCAAAATAAACTAAAACGATTATAAGTGAACGCATTCATAATGTATTATTCTTCTAAAGGTGGCGTCTTCGGTGCACTCACTTTTTTGGGTGCATTCAGTGCACTCGCTTCATAACCGTCATTTTAAACATGAGATTTATGTCAAAATGATGTCAATCATCACTTATGACGTGATGAACAATAACGCACTTGAATTTGCACAAAAACCATTAAAGATTTACATTAATTTGAAGGATTTAGAGTTTAGAGATTTAGGGGTAGGGTTTACAATTTGGGGTTTCGGGATAGAACTCAAAATTGGAGGTCTAGAGCTTAGGGTAATCCGCTAATTAGTTGTTATCATATGTTATATAATCATATTACACTAATTCTACAAATTAAAATTCAAAATCCGACACCTTAAGACTAGTTTTTGAGTTGGGTGCATTGAACACACTCATTTTAGTGAGTGCACCAAAGTAGTCACATTCTTCTAAAATTGTACACTAAAAAAATTATGTTAATTGTAGCCTATATTAAATACACGTCTAAATTTTAAGGAGAAGAATTCATTACGTTAGAGAAATCACAAGAGAAAAATATGATAAAATATCTTAAATTTATTACAAACATATTTTGGATACGAACATTTGTGATAATAGTTGGAACACGGGTTGAGTCGGATTCTACAGGCTGCGTAACCCAAAATCCTCACCCAACCAAATAGAGGCGGGTTGTACAAAATAAAACTCTCACCCAACCTTGAATCTTAATTTTAGCAATAAATACAGGTGGGTTGGGTCAGGTTGGACAGGTGGGTCGATTTGCGAGTTGTTTTGTTCACGCCCATCGTGCACCAAAACAAGCTACGAGCATTTGCAGGTTTTTTCTTTGTACAGATCTCTAGGTCTTCGGGTGGAAGAGCAAGAGTTGGAACGATGTCGTCTGACCGAGAGCTAGGAACCTAGGATCAGAGGCGGAGCTAGCATGGAGTAAGGGGGTTACATGAAAAGGCCATGTCATATTTTAAGTGACAACTCCCTAATATCAAGTTCTGGCTACACCACTGCCTAGGAAACACTCCTCAAAAGCCTGTTGTACGATAACGCAAGTTGATGGATAGGTGACTTTGGTAGTAGAAAACAATGGGGATTCTGCAGCCCTCGCAGGCCAGCTGACTACACATTAACTCGATTGGTAACAATATTACATACATATGCTAGCTGATGTATATTTTATGTTTTCAATCAATACCACCACCTGCGCATGTAGACTTCCCCTCCCCAAGAAGCTACCTTGGAATGAGCGAAAAAGTTAAACTGCTAACAAGGTCTTTTGTTAGCAGATACTAACATGGTTGGATTGAGGCCCACGTGGAGGCCCTAGAGATCCAAAGGATGAGCTATGGGCTCACTTAAGTGAGCTATTGTGGCTTTTTTGCCAAACCGAACCCACAGTCAAGCTGGTTTAAAGAGTTGAATTTGTGAGCTGGGTCCACCAAATTTTTGGGCGGGAATTAGGAGAGGAAGGGAGGGGGAATTGGGAGAGCTAGGTCCACCAATTCCTATTCTTTCTCAAGCTCCTCTTTCTCTTCTCTTCCAATGATAGTGTGATATTAGTTGGCAGATGATTGAATATTATTTTTTTTAGTTTGTATTTTTGTTTTTAATTAATATTTTTTTTGCATTAGTATTAGTATTACGCTTTGTCATGAACTTATAATAGTTTAAGATGGATCGATCATTAGTTTGTAGATAATTATATTCATCCTTAACCAAATAATTATCCGGGGCCACTAGTTTATATGGTCGGATATTAGTCTGGGCGGTATGGATTTTTTTTTCATGAACGGATATTATATGAGATGTATATTAGTTTGCGAAGTAATGGATATTGTGTCTTTCATCAAAATTAAACACACTATCAAGTCCTAACACATAAGGTTTGCAACCTTAGTTAGGGCTGCCCGCCGAGGGCCATGGGCCGAAGGCCTATGAAACAATAATAGTAGGAGAGTGAGTGTCTTCCAGACCCTTATATTAGTCCATTTGTGATTTCGGATATTAGCTTATGTGTTTGCAATATTAGTAAGGGTGTTAAGGATATTTGTTCGTTAAAGGGAGGATATTATTTCTGGTGTGGATGGATGTTAGTCTGGGCGCCACGTATATTTGTTTGAGAAAGGAAG